AAAAAAATGAAGGAGGAAAGACATGAAGACCAAAGAAGGGCTGATGGGATTAGCAGTATCAAAGGAGTGGACAATGGGCACTATTTCACTTTTACCTCTATTCATTACATGTTGAAGATGGAACAACTAAACAGGTCTAAAGTTTGCTTCTTTTTTAAGAGAGGAGGGTTACAGTGAAGGGAGAGTTATAGGAGAGAAGTGTGCAATACTGTGCTTCAGTCTATTTTCTAATTTCTTGAAAATGTTCTTCCTCTGCAAAAGTGGCTTTTGTTTTGCTACTTTATTTTTGGGAAGATTGAAAAGTGCTTTCCCATTTCCCTGGGTGGAGATTTTCAAAAATACTACTGCTTTTGTTGTCTTCCGTTACCTCTCTTTTCCTTGCTCTGAAGCCTCACCGCTGCCCGTTTGGTAAGCTCCATAGGAGGAATTCCCTCCCTTGGGATTTAATTGAAGGTAAGAAGCCAAGAAATCTGAGAATAATGGAAAATAGGATTATACAATAAAAGACTCCTAAGCCACCTTGTCACTAAGAATATGCCAGAATACTACACACCATGCATCTTCTCATCTCTCTTGGAAAGAAAAGGAGACTAATTTCTTTTCCATCAAATTGATGAGAATGGTTGAAAAATACACAGGAAAATGCATTTCACCGTAGCCCTGGTGCATACGGCAGCAACCTCTTCTTCCAAGCCATAACATAATGTTCTACCTCAGTAGAACTTCTAAAAGATTGCCAAGTTGCTTGTGGGTTTCATAAATATATATTATGACAAACTGTACCAGAAGCCTGCAAAAAAGCAAGACACTGGAACTAAATTATGTCCATCTTGTCAATCATATTTATGCTCCATTCCTTCCAGATAACATAGTTGTGAGCAGGACCACATTTGAGATGTGAAACAAGTGGACTCTAGTTTAAACATAGTCTCTACAATGAATTTTGTAGGTGGCCTCACCTCAGCAACCCTCTCCTTTTGAGCCCCACATCTACAGTAATATAAATGTTTTTGCATCAAGTCCTTTTTTTCTCCAGTCACAATCAGGAGTTCACGTGATTTTATGGGCTTCATGCTTCAAGCTCGCCGGGTCCTGAATGACCAAATTGCCGGCACTTTTGTATACATTCCTCCTGGCTCCAAACTGCTGACTTGTTTTGAAGATGGTGACACTGTTACCCATTCAGACAAATCACTTAAGAGAAATCTGTCTTTTGTGTGGAAAGCGCCAGATCAGCCTATTGGAGACATCAGATTCTTGTAAGTATTTGCTTGCTAAGTATGACTCATCTGCTCCTGAGGAAGTATTCTAATAATGCAATTGATGACAGCCAGATAGCTGTTTTGGTGTACAGAGCATAGGAGCATGCTATAGGTTTTGGATTAAAAAAACACACAAAAAACCTGAAATGTTTAAAATTTTATTTTACATTCTGATTGTTTATTTACTTGAAAAGGATGATCTAGAAGAGAACTTATTCATGTCTGGAATGAGTTTATAATTAGCAGAATGTAGGATGTATGAATATATGGATGTTCAAACAAGTCGCATTTAATGAAGCTCTGATGAGTTTATCTTCATGTACTTTGTCTCAAAAATTAACTGAAAATTAAGTTTTTGCAAGCCTTCTTGACTATGGCTTGCAGATTTAACCAAAATTTTATAAATGAAACTTTTTTGTAAAATATTAATTTTTAAAAAGGTTGTTTAAATTAAGACAGCATCAGCTCCCCTCCATATGTTTGATGAGTTTTTTTCACTAAAATTTTGTTGTCATTTCCAAATTAAACTGTTCTATGGCATAGCCTAATATTTTAATGCCTTTTCCAGTTATGCTGCTTGCAGATTTCGAAGATTTTTTTTTTATGTACTAAATGATTAATTAATGGCAGAGAATGACTAAAGCCTTTCTTCCAATACTTTACAGTTTATCAGTTGTTCAGTCATACTTTGTTTATTGGGCAAAGATTGAATCGTCGACTGTTTCTCAACAAATACAAAATAGAACAATTACTGAAAATAATGTTGTCTCCAATACAATTAAACCATCACTACTTCAGGAGCTTATTGATCTAAAAGGAACATTTATTGTAGGAAAAAGTAAGTTATCCTCTGACGCACACTTTTTTTTGGTAGGAAAGCCTGTAAATATCTATTTTATTTCTTAGGTGTTTTTAGTTCTCTTAACTATACAATAGTCACATTTGCCACAAACTTCCCATATTGGATTCTAAATTTATTGAGGCAGAAGTGGATTCTTATTTTCTTGACCATAATGTCCATGTCAACTAACTTCCAATTACTGCCCTAAGATTCAATTTACACTCCAGTGTAAAGTGAATGGATTTTAACTGAGCAAAACAATTACTCTAAGATAGCTTTTGCTGTTTTTGTCTGTCATGGATCTGCAGTGATATCTTCACATGGATTAAATTTATGAGCCCTCAGCTGGATCTTTCAATAGAAGTAGGGAAAGAAAAGAGCCAAATACTCTTGGTCCTTTTTTTCTTTGCATCTTTTAACATTAGGACAGCTTTTGCCTTTTGACAATCAGGGACAATTTTTAGGCAAAGTGGGAGAGTGGACCTGCCTCAACCAATAGAAGATATGGCACTTAATAATAATCACAGTTACACCTATGTAAACGTCTCAAGAGGCATCTGATTGACTTCTGTCAGAAATAGAATAATGGATTAGATATATCTCCATCTAATTTTATAAACCAGCTCTTCACACTTTATAATATATATGACAATTGTTTAATATACAAAAGATTTGTGAAAAGTAAGCCTGTTTTGTATTTTGAATAATGCTTATTCTTGTTCTAAGCAATTGTTTTTAAATGTTTTACTTTGGTTTCCCACACCACCAGGAAGTTCTATTCCTGATACCATCATAACTCCATTTGTGACATTTACACCTACCACCAGCCTGATTCGAACTGAAGAAACACTGGCTTTGGATTCAACGTACCATGGAAAACAAGTCTCTGAGTTTGGCATCAGTGGAAATGTTCAGCCTGAGTCCTCTGTAGACATGGTCACTTCATATGACATAATGCTCAGTAATGAAACAAACAAAGGTGGTGATTTCACTCTGGAATCATCACTTCAGCTTCAGGATCTGAATTTCAGAGTGCAAGATTATTTCTCCAGTGCACATAATGGGTATTGTGAGAGCATTAAATGTTGTAAATATATAATTCTTCTTATAGGGTCATAGGATTTGCCAAAGATGGTAAGAACTAAGAGGTTATGCTCCTCCCCCTTATGCAAGTGCATGTTTAATTTTAAGTAGATAATATTCTTCTTAGGCTGCAAACCACAATCTTATAGACATTTACTAGAAGCAAGTCTTATTGAATCACATAGTTAATGGTAATGATAAATTTCCTATAATCCTAAGCTTTTAAGCTCTTGTGGCACTGGCCAAGTGTACCGCCAGTACTGCATAAATGCAAAATGGCTGCCATCAATGTAAGTTTGTTTGTTTGTTTTTAACTTGCCATAATCGGAAAAGGGTTTAAATTTCTCAACCTGCTCTAGTTCATATTCAGATCAGGATCTCTCAGACTTATTCTAGGACGGAGATTAGGAACTTAGACCTAATAACTCTTAGTAACCATGTAAATGCTGTGTTTTCTGGGAATTGAGGTTAAGTATCATCCAGAAGGTTTCCACACCCTGCTCTTTAATAATACAAGCAAGAGTGTTCACCATGTTATTAACATAATTATTGGATAGGCTTGATCTCATTGCTGAATCATAACGAACAACTACTAATCTAGAAGCAATGTCCTTAGATGAGTCCTTAGAAAAATTCTCTTTCTAAATGTTGGGAATATATTATATTTATAAAGATGCGTGAGTGAGGCGTGAAGCTCTCATTCACTCACTAGTTCACAAGGTGTTGAAACTGTGACTGAGAACTGGAAGTTGGCATCTGTGAGATATCCTGATTACTTGAGAATTCTGTACATCTGTTCCTAAAATGATAGAGATTCATAACAGGAAGCAGCATTTCAGCAGAGTGAAAGCAAAAACTCAGCACAGAAAGTATAGCTGAACTGCGGGAGCATTCTTCCTTCCCATGTTCTATTTGTAAAATGATTAATATAAAATATATATAGTGACAGCCAGAAATGTGCCTACAGAATTCAAACTGAATGTACTAATATTACAAATAATTAATTGGAACTTCCTCTTCAACATTTTAGGACAGAAACTACTTCAAGTATTCCCATATCACTGTTGTGTCTGACGTGTAAGAAAAGCGTGAAGGTAAGCCTTTTGGGAGGTGGGTGGGGGTAAGCCAGTTCATGATATCTTTTAGAAAAGATCTATAGTTGCACCTCTATAATAGCATCATAAACTCTTTTCATGCTAGAAGTCCAGTCTTGTAAAGTACATTTTTAGAATTCTATTCTAAAAGTGCTATTATTATTACTTCTGTTAAATAAAAATCCCAAAACTGCATAACTAAATCTGATTGTTTGCTGCCAGAGTTCAGTGATTTTGCCCGTAACTCACATGCCACCCACTTCTGCTGTAGTTTCCAGAGATTTGCAGTGATTTAAAATTTAATAAGGACAAATACAATAATCCATCAGAGAATTAAAGCTGCAGAGATAAATTAAAACATCTACAATTAATTTATAATCTCTTATCAACATGTATTCAAATGACTTACCTGCTATTTTACCACTGTTCCTTAATCTTTAGATTAATGACTATGATCAGAAAGAAGCATCTATTTTAATACTGAGCCCACTGAACATAATCATTTATATCCTGATCAAACTTGTATTTAAGTTTTACAGTAGCTATGAAGTAGAATAGATCATGGTAATTCCAGCCATGTGTATAAAAAGCAAATGAAAGTATCAGAATCTTCGATGCGCCTTTTTACTTTGCTTACCTGTGTGCTGAGAAAACTGGTCCAAAGATTGATCGATCAATTGAGTCTTTATATCAGTGGGCTCCAGAGTGACTGGTGGTTTAGATAATAACTCCCAGGAGTTATTATGCTCAACAAGTCCTTCTCTGAAACATTTGAACAATGGAGTGGTCAAACATTTGCACTATGTGGAATGTTGGTTTATCTTTGACCAGAAAAGAACTTTTTTAAGGGACCTTGAAAACTTGCACAGAAAATCAACTAAAAGGCATTGTTTTTAGCCTAGATGTCACATATACTGGAATGTGATTCAGTGTGTGTCACATACAGAAACTATTACTCAGATAATCTCTTCATAAACCTAGGTAGTCTAAAACTGATGCATAAAATATGTTGCGGCCTAGTTAACCTTATTGTTTGCCTGAATCTTTTTCTCTGTTCCACCTTCTCCCCCCAAAAAACATCTTCAAATGCAAGAATATACAAAGATTGTTAGAAAGAAAAAAGAATATGGTGATTGCTCATATTCCCTGCATGATTCAAAGTGATTTCATAAGATATTATTTGCAGAATTTGGAGAAGGTATCTAAAACAGACTTGAAATATTATTGATGTCAGGCCTTGCATGGAAGATTGACTAGTAAATGGTTTTATAAAGGCAGTACAATGGCTTTTATTGGTTAATGTTAAAGATTTATGATAGAAATTATCTGCATTCGCATTGGTTCAACCTAATCAGTATAGGAATCAAATTTAAAACATCTCCAAAAGATGTCTGTCCAATCTCTGCCTGAATACAGCTGGTGGTGGACAACTCACTATATCTCTCAATAACTGTTTCCACTGTTGAAGTACTCTTGACATTAGGATTTAGCCATCTATCTGACTTCCTGTTGTTTTAGATCACTATTTCACATTCTGCATTCGGGAATGTTATGGAAAGGTTTTGGCCACCTTTGAATGGCACCCCTTCAGGTACTTGAAAAATATTATCTTATCACCACCCCTGGATAAAGTTTTTTCAAAACTAAACCCATTGGTTGCCTCAGTCTCTATTCATAAGACTTAGTTTCCCATCCCCTCAAATACACCTTTATTTGCATGTCTTCCAGTTTCCCTAGAAACATTCTTGTTTTTAAATGCATCTTCCTTGGCTTTCCATACTTATATTAAATTCCAAAGGAAGACATCGTGGAAGGCCTCCTTTGGAAGTGGGAAGTAGGGCAGTCAAGGGACTTGCAGAATGACAGAGAACAGAAAACTTTAGCACCTTGCTGAAATAATATAGGATGCTACTCTGTGTTAAAACTATATTAATACATGTAATGAGATGACTAGTGGCTTGAATGAATATTCTGTCTCTGGCCCCATCAGAGTCTTCAGCCTGCTGTGAATAATGCTAATAGACTAATACTTATTATATGGAGATTATAATGAGATCTATTTTTTTTAACAGCTTTACTCCCATGATGCTCAGTTAAGGCCACTGTTAGATCTCAATTAAAGTAAGCTACTGCATACAATAGGCTTTTAATATTTTTGCTTTCAAGGAGACTTCGATGACACCCAGTCTGGATGTAACCAAATCTGCATCTCCCATTACAACTTCACCACTGGTCCAGTTTTGGGACTCTCCAATGCTTTCAGACCTGGAAAGAATGCCAGAGGATTTGGATAGAGAAGAGGATACAGATGTCTACCAAAGTTTATCAGCAGTTTCAAGACAGATAGTAAATAAAAAAACAGTAACACAGACAGTTCCAGTAAATTTTCTGCCCCAGGCTGAATTTCCAACACCTGGGCAGAAGATATACAAGCAGAAGGAGGTTCCTGGGAACATACTCCTGAAGGTAACGAGGACAAAACCCCAAGCTGCTGTTTCTGGAGTAGGAAAAGAAAAGTCACACAAGGAGTCACAACTTGTAGCTGCTCAACTTGGTGTCCTCCTTGGATGCTCTGCTGTCCTTGGCATGGTGCTAGCTGTTGGCCTCCGCTGCATCCATTCCCAGTATTGTCATAAGCGGACTGAAGTATCTTTTAGCGAGCCAGACAACAATGTCATTGCACTCCAAGATAGTGGAGAGATGATGCACTTCAGGAAGATACGAGAAAACAGCTTTGTCCTGGTGCAGGCAGAGTACAACTGGATCAGCCCTTCAAGCAGTGTAAAAAAAGCTGTTATGTAGAGAGCCAGTTCATTGTGATATCTACCAGTTCATTGTGGTATTATTGTCATTGTTCTTTTATAGGTGAAGTGTGTGTCAACTGTGAGCCTATGGTAAAGTATTAATAAGAACATGGAAATCTGACCAACTGCATATATTCATTTAAGTGAATATAATCAAAATATGCATGCTTTGGTTATAGTACAGCTGACTCTTAACTATTTGACATACTGTATGTTATAAAATGGAGATGTTCTTTGTTTCAGATGTCACAAAATATGATTAGATATTTTTGTTCTGAGTATTACAACTAATACTACATACTTGCTCATTAAAATTAATTTTGCAGGCTTTATTGTTTTGTTGATGCATTTGGATACCATCAGTAACAGGAACTGCAATTAAGTGTTGCCTCCTATTCAGTCTCTGAAAAAAAAAAAAATTAAAAGTTTTTCTTCTGGCTATTCTTTTTCAAATAAATTCAAGCCTTCATCCCTCTTCTCACTTAGTGCCTTTGGTTTGATGTGTGTGATATTTCTCAGATCAGTCAAATTTTGCCACTTGAACTAACTTTCCATTTCAGAAAGACAATAGAGAGCAACACTTGCCTTTTAGAAAATTGATTCCTGGCATACAAGACACTGACTGCCTTTATTATGAATTCTCCAGGAATAAAACAAAGATACAGTAAATGCCACCTTTTGGGAGTGGAACATGGCTCCTCATCAGGTGTAAATGGAAAGACAGCTTCTCCTGGCCATTTGCACCTTGATAAGTTGGCATGTTAAATGCTCACAGATGGCATTTGCTTTGTTTCTACTCCAGATCAGTTCGATACACCTATTGGAAGAGAAGTTTACTGAAGAACAGGAAAGCTTTGGTCATCTGAGGAAGTCCCACCCTAGAGGGTTTCTGACCCAAAAGTCTTTTTGACTCCAGCTGTGCCATCTTAAAAGAAGCCCATTCAGTGGCATCAGCTCTGCCTGGTAGCAGAAGAGAGTTGGAAAGGTGACCTGTAAACTTTGAATAAGCACCATATACTAGTAACAGTCTTTGTTCTGTATGTAGCCAGTGAAATAATCTACACTCAAGAGTGAGGTCTAAGTAGATAACTCCCAAATATGAGGAATATGAGAAAGTAAAGAGAAAAATCAAAACTGCTCAGTGAGGAAGGACTAGGCACATACAGTGGATGGTGGCTGAATTTTGGAGGCAAGGGAGAAATAACGAAGGAAAGGGAAAATGGAGTGCAGTAACCTGGAAGTGAACTTTGCTGTTTGCCTGGCAGGCAGGCATTCCAAGCAGGTAATTCCACACTGCAGCATATTGTTGCAGGTATGATTTCTTAACTATAATCTTTTATTTTGCCCAACAGGAACTATACTTCCATATTAAGAAGAGATCATGGAATTGTAGAACATGATGCACTATGTTAATATCTTGTAACCTCTAAAAGTTCCAGCTTTTTGACTCAAAATAATCTACTCAAAATATTGGGGAGGTCATCTGTTGATTTGGGGTGAGGTATCATCAGTATGCAGATGATATCCAGTTATATGTCCCTACCCTGGGCCGCCCGAGTGATGCTGTGGAGGTCTTGTCTCAGTGTCTGCAGGCTGTGGGGTCTGGATGGGAATAACAGGCTTCAGCTCAACCCTAGTAAGACCAAGTGGTTTTGGGTTTTAGACCCCCTGATTCTGGGGACCTTCCATCCCTTCTATATGTTGCACTGTCCTGTGTGCAATTTGGGAATCCTCCTGGACTCACAGCTCCTGCTTGAAGAGAGGTGACAGTCATGGCCAGGTGAGCCTTTGCACAACTTCATGTTGTGCGGCAGTTGCACCTGTTCCTGGACCAGGAGGCCCTGCTCACAGTCAATGATGCCTTAGTCACCTCACAATTGGATTACTACAATGTGCTTTATATGGGGCTGCCCTTGAAGAGTATTTGGAAGCTTCAGCAGGTGCAAAATGCAGCAGCACAGGCAGTTTTGGGTGCCAGTCATTCATCACATGTGACACCTCTGCTCTGCAAGCTGCATTGGCTACCAGTATGCTTTGGGGTACAATTCAAGTTGCTGCTGGCTACCTTTAAAACCCTTCATGGCTTGGGGCTAGGCTACCCACTGGACCATCTCTCCCCAGTGGTGTCTACCTGTCCTGTTAGAACTGGCAGGAGAGCCATGCTCAGGGTCCTGTCTGCAAGAGTGTCATTTGGTGATGCCCAGGAACAGAGCCTTTTCTGCCATGGCACCTGCCCTCTGGAACATCATTCCCCAGGGATTAGACTTGCCCCAGTCCTGCTAGTCTTTTGCAAGGCGTTAAAATCCTGATTTTGCCAAAAGCCTGGGGGCCTGATGTGATGGATCAGCCTGTTTCTTGGTCACGGTTATATTGAAGGTGTGATGTCCTAAGTGTTATTGGCTGGTATTTTATGTTATTTATGGTGTTTCCTGATTTTGGTTGTTTTTCTTTTTACCCTGTCTTTTCTCTGGTTTACATGCTAGCTGCCCAGAGTCATGTATATGAGATAGATGACCATAGAAATAAATAAAATTATGTCAAAAAATTATTTTAAATATTTTTGAAAATCAAGTAAAATTATATGCAATATTTTAAATTTAGTCTAATGTTCTTCTTAAGGCAAGTCATTTGTTTGGAGAATAGCATCTTACCAATTTATTTTCAGTGGCCCAATTATACGTTTTGGTTACAGCACAGCATTTCACTTAAAAGTGGAATAAAACAAGGATACCAACCATATTTGATTACAAATGTATAGATCATTAATTTTTATTAGAAGCAATGCTTTACTAGAAAATAATTCAGGCTATCATTGAATAGTTCCTAGAACTGTGTGTTTTACAAGTTTACAAAAACAGTGCAGCAAAATAAAGATTCTTATATTCATTGTGTGAACTGACTTGGATTGGCTACTGATTCACACGTAAAATAAGGAATCTATTTAGCATAGGTCTTATTAAATAAGCGCTCTTTGCACCTCACAATAGTTGCTTAAAGGCTGCATATATTCAATACATTGTTAATGTGATTCCTAATTAACTGAGAAAATAGGTCAACAAACTGGTAAATATTTAAACAACTATCAGCTTTCATTTAAAAAGTTTGTTCTGATGGCTTAGCAGTTTATGAATAAATTACAAAATCTTACGTCCTCCTGCACTACTTCTTTATCTGTTTTAACAGGAATTGATAAAGCCTATAGTCCTTTTTTCTTTTAAAACATTTGTTCCTAACTTCAGTAGAGAAGATGAAACCTCAGTATTAAGAGTAGAAAAAGAAAATAGGCCAGTTTTGCCTCTGGTTTCTTCCTATTTCTTACTAAATAGCCACAATGAGCAATTCTGGGCAGTTACAGGACCGTTCAATGACAGTGGAGTTTAGGAAAGGGGGTAAAATGGCAGTCACAGTTTGCTCTAATTTTTGCTAAGTGAATATGACCATTTACCTGTTAACTAATGCCTGAGGTTAGAAATCCAAAATCAAACAAGTTATGTTTTAGATTTTTGCAAAACGTAAATCCAGCCACCACCTTGTTCTCTAGTTTATATGCAATCAGAAATGAAGAAACTTGGGAACTGGAATTAGCCTGAAGACAAAATCTAGCCAAATTTAGTGAACACTTTCTTGAGGCTTGTCAACATGTGGGAACTATTAATGGAAGAAAAGTATAAAAATATAAACCAATTATAATAACCTTTGCTGAAGTTCATCTGAGGGCCTGGCATGAGGTAGAAGGTCCACTCTGCTGCCAGGGACAAGCACTTCTCTTGTGGAGCCCCCAAATCTGTTGGTGAGAAAGCTCTTTGTTCATAGCGGAAAATGTGAAAAAGTAAACCAACAAACAAACCCCTCCCTTTCTGAGGACCAGTGAAAATGAAACAATAGCATGCAAATTTTTGTTTTCCTTGGAACTCTTTTTCAGTCCAGATGTTGAAAAAAATAGGGAATAAGCAAGACTGCACAAAAATTTGGCTAGCTGCTTAACCCACAAGGTCTGCAGATCAAAGTCAGTTCCAAAAGGTTGTGGATTTAACACAGAATTAATAAGAAAGGAGTAAAATTAGTTTACTTCTTGAGAAATGGAATCCCTTCATATGCATGTGAAATATGGATGACAGGTAAAATAAAATAAAATTAATCAAGACTATGATACTGTAAGAGGAATGTGTAAAGGTGAGATGAGTAGAAAAGGAAGGAGAGAAAGCCAGTTTAGAATAACAGTCACCTCAGCAAGCAGCAGTACCTCACTGATTTTGTTTGGGTCCTGAAGTTAATTAGGGTTGGTTTGGATAACATTAGGATGGAAGTTCCCAAGCGCTAGATTGAAAAGCTAGAAAGCATCCTGGAAGAAGGCGATGGCAAATCACCTTCATGTGGTTGTCAGAAACAAAAAAACCCCACTTAGTTGTAGCCATGTAATCACCAGGGGTGAAGGTCAACTCATGGTCAAGGCATCTAGGCTCAAGTTCATCCTGTTATGGAAGCTGACTCTGGGCCAGCCACTTTCTCTCAGCCCAAGTGGTTTTTCAAGTGGAAAAAAAGTGGAGGGGGGAGAGTATTATCAATGCCCTCCTGAGCTCCTGGGAAAAAGGCAAAGGATAAGTCTAATAAACAATAATGAATATTAACATGATGGAAGAAATAATGAGAACAGATTGAAGAGGGGAAGCACTGAAGACAATTATAAAAAAGGTATGTTAGGACATGCGTGTAAGGGTACAAAATGTAACTGATGAGGGAATTTAAAGGACAAAACCAAGAAATACTAGATACATGGCAAAGATCCTGTTAAGAAATAGGGGAAGGGTGGAAACATATTCAAACTTGAATCAGTCTTGCATGAGATAAAGAAAAAAATAAATTCACAGTCTGAGGCATGAAGGAAAATCATTCATTTATTTCTTAAATCTAATTATGAAGGATGTTAATTTGAAATTGAAGGAGCCAGTGTGATTAAGTGTGAAGGTGGTGGTTTATGTCTAGGGAGATGCAGGTTCAAATCCAGCCTCTGCCATGCAAATTCCCTGCTTTGGGACAATTATTCTGTCTCAGTCTGGCCTACCTCACAGGATTGCTTTGTGGGGGGAATGAATGGAGATCCCCATGTAGATTGCCTTGAGCTCCCGAAGGAAAGATGGGATATGAATCACATAAATAAATCTGTTATTTTGCTTTTACAAAATATCACCCTTGAAATCTACCTATATTTCCTGGAAAGAAAGCCACATGAATTTAAGCCTCTCCCCTCCCTCAATAAAAGGAAGATTAGATTTTAAAAAATTACTTGATTCCATTGCCATATTTTCAGTCAGTCTAAGAACTGGTGGTAAATTATTTGGAAAAAAACTCCATAGTCTTCCTTTCAGGCAAATAGATTGAAATAGAAAAGGTCTCAAAATGGGAGATGATTTATTCTTCTTCAGGCAT